TCCGACCCGCTGGGCGGGGAGATGCCAGGGGTGGCATCCGCCAGGGGGCCACGCTAGGTCCTCGCCCCGGAGGAGATGCGCCCCCAGCACCCGCATCCTTCCCGCCTCCGCCCGTCCCGTCTCCCCCTACCCCACCCCGGTCCTCTCCCAGGGGCCCCGGGAAGCGGCTCCCTCGCCCCCCCCTCCCCTCCGTCTCTCCTCACCGCCGCCCAGCCCGCCTGACATACCAGGAATAACTGCACACAATTGCACCTTTCCGGGCCAACAAACTTCCCTCCGGGGACGAAAGCGGCCGGACCCCGCCGGGCCCGCCTTCACCTGCAGCTGGACCCCGCAGGACCCCGCCCCAGCGGCCGCCCGGCCTGCAGTTCCGCCCCCTCCCCGCCTCCCCCCACAGGCTCGGTGGTTCCCGCCCTCTCCCCCCCATCTCCACCCCGGGGGATCGCCGCTCCCTCCTGCCCGCAGGTGAAGGGAATGACCCGCACGTGCAGCCAGTCACCCCCCCCCCAGCCCCAGCCACCCCGGGGCCAGCTCCGATCCCACGGATTTCAGGTGGGTTGGAAGGGACCTGCCACTCAAAGCCCCGCTAATTACAGAGGGTTCAAACTTGGCGTTTCTCTCGCCGGCCGGCCTGCTCTGCCCCTTTCCGGACGTGTCACCGTGTCACCACCCTCACCTGAGAGCCAAACCCCGACCCTGGCTCCACACAGCAGGCAGCCAGGTGACGGTTCCCCGGGTTGAAATAGAGGCGACGTCTTAATTGTTCTGGCTGGTTGTTTACGTTTCCTGATGTGAAAGGCACACGCATAGCAGAGGCTGGTGTCTTGAATACCCCTCAGGCCTGCCTTCTACATGTGTTGGCGCCTTTTCTTACTGCACCCCTCACCCTTTCTACAGCAGAGTTTTAAAGTCCAAGACCTTCCAACATACACAGTCTCTTTAAAAGGACTCTTACTGAAAACCATTTCCACACAGACCTAAATCTAACAAAAACTGACCATTCATACCCAATCCCGACTCAGATTGCCCCAGGTAGTCCCCAAAGTAGCTTTTCCAGCTGGCCAACTGAGATCAAGAAATCCAGCCAAGGACTGGGCTCTGCATTTGATTATTTGATTATCTGATTTGTCTTATGGCTTATTTGCTTCTTTGTGGTATTTTAAACATATTTCTTTCTCTGTATTTCCTATGTCCTGGAAGTGAGATCTACAGGCTAGAGTGGAACCCATTTACTCTTCTGAATGAAGACCATCTGGATTGGAGTGATGGTTTCTGTGTTTATTTGGTAGGTTTATTTTTGTTCAACTCTTTTTTTTTTTTTGGCTCTGTCTATAATCAGAAGAGCTGAGGAGTCTCAAAAATACAATTGTTCCTACTGAAGTGAGAGGCCTGTGACTGGACCATCTCAGCATCTGCCTACCCTCAAATCAGGCCACACTTGTGGAGGGAATGGAATGATGAAAGAAACGGAGGAGAAATTTCCCTCTTTGGGGATATCCAAGAACTCTTACGTTAAATATTTAGCTAATAAGCTGTACTTGGAAAGTGCTACTTGTGGTAAGTGATACAAACATTTTTAAAATTCTAGACTGAATCCCAACTACTAAAAGAACATACATTCTGTGGGTTTTATGGGGTTATTTTTAACTGTGATTAATACATACATGTATTATACTGTTTGGAAATGACTGCTAGAGGTTTAGTTAGCCTCACCTCAAACTAACTTCTAGCAACAAAGTCACAGTCAGACCCAGGATGTGGATTTGAGCAGCTGAAGCTACCAAAGTGACTAGAATCAAAGAATTGCTATTTCATCTTTTGAAAAGTATAGAAATGAAACCATCTAATAGTACTAGATTCTTCCCACAAAATAAAGAATTATGAGACAGGAGAAGTAAGAGCAGAGACAAAGTTTATTTGAAAATAGGAGTAAGACGCCAGATGAAACTGAGGAAAATTCTCTTAGCATTTGGTGGATTGGTATAATAAGCTCCAACCTGGACTCCTGACTGCCATATGAGGTCTTCTCCATACCTGTTTCCCAGGTAAGAGCAGGGAAAAAAGTACAGACTTCTCCATGGAAGAGAGTGAGAAGCCTGGTGTAGGCTCAGAGGGTCTCTCTTGTAGGGATTGTATGTCCTTATTTATTAATTTCATGCAGGTATTGGGCTTCAACTTGGAGCCTGCACACTATCCCTTTGCTTTTTTACTCAAAGCTGATACTTTACCTTTGTCCCTTATGCTGGTTAATCACAGATAGGAGTCTCACAGACTTTCCTGCCTGAACTGGCTCTGAGCTACAACCCGCAGATCTCCATCTCCTGAGTAGCTATGATTACAGGTATGAGCCTCCTGAACTCTGGTGGGAAGTTTTTTTTTTTTTTTTTGTCGGTCCTGGGGCTTGATCTCTGGGCCTGGCTCCTGTCCCTCAGCTCTTCAGCTCAAGGAGGTGCTCTACCAGTTGAGCCACAACGCCACTCCAGTTTTCTGGTGGTTTATTGGAAATAAGAGTTTCACAGGAAGTGGCGCTGTGGCTCAAGTGGTAGAGTGCTAGCCTTGAGCTGAAGAGCTGAGGGACAGCGCCAAGGGCCAGAGCTCAAACCCCACGACCAACAAAAAAAAGAGTTTCACAGACTTTCCTGCTCAGGATGTCTTTGATCCGAGATCCTCAGAGTGTTTGTTTGTTTGTTTGTTTGTTGTTGTTGTTTTGCCAGTCATGGTGGCTGAACTCTGGACCTGGACACTGTCCCTCAGCTCTTCAGCTCAAGGCTAGTGGTCTTGAGCCACAGCACCACTTGAGCCACTGCACCACTTCCAGCTTTTTCTGCTTATGTGGTGCTGAGGTATCAAACCCAGGGCTTCATACATGCAAGGCAAGAACTCTACCACTGAGCCACCTTCCCAGCCTTTTTTGTTTTTTACTTATAATATTTGCCACATTAAGACAGATTGGAAATTTTTAGCAGTGGTTGTGGTTAGTTGTAAATAGAGATTTTGTACCTCTATCTTTTCCAAGTTTTTGCTTGCAAGAGACATGTATGTTAATTTTATAAATGGGAAAACTTATGTGATAAGAAGGTACATCCAAACTTGACTTTCTATTGCATTCCAAAAGCTTCAGTCTCCTCTTGTAAATGTGTAAAATGTTATCATGCCTAAAATTGCAAGATTATGCTGGACATCCTCATCTCACTCCCATGCCATTTCATTCTGAGACCTGTCAACATCTTAAATATTTGTTGAATTGACCCTATTCTTCTCAATATCTCCACTTCCCTAACTTAGGCCCTTATTAGCTATAGGCTAGACTTTAGACATAGTATAAACTTGCAGAAATGTAAATCTCATGATTCTTCTAACACTTTCCTTCCAATTGGCCTTTCTTCAAAATACTGCCTGCTTGTTCAAGGCATCTGATGAATGTCCGTGCACTGTGTAGTGGCCTCATCATCTGTCATGTCTATTTCTGTACCCTGTCTTGAACTATCCTTCTCACTCTTCCAAAAATGTGCTTCTTTCCCTCTCTTTGCCTGGCTTTCTCCTGACAATTTGTCCAAGTTCCATTGCTTTTCAGAATACTTCAAAAAAGCCTTGGCAGATTATTAGGCCTACTCTTGTTTATATAAGTACAGTCCCTTTCTCAAGATATTGCCCATTTTCCCTCATTGACCCAAAATCCTGGCTTTGTTTTTAATACTGACCTGGTGGTCACCAACTGTTTATTGCTAAGACTGACATCCAAGGATAATATAGAGTAGAAGAGGTTTTTTACTCAGGTTAGCTACTCAGGTTAACTTTCAACAAGATGTGTACAAATGCTGGGCACTGGTGGCTCATGTCTATAATCCTAGCTACTCAGGAGGATGAGATCTGAGGATCTCGTTTCAAAGCCAGTCTGGACAGGAAAGTTTGTGAGACTCTTATCTCCAATTAACCATCATCAGAAAACTGGAAGTGGAGCTGTAGTCTTGAGCACAAAAGCTGAGGGACAGTGTCTAGGCTCTAAGTTCAAGCATCATAACCAACAACAACCACACACACACACACACACACACACACACACAGATCTATAGAAGTTGTTGGCAGCCCCACATTGCTGGTGATGGCAGTCTCATCATTTGAAGGACACTTCATAAAGCAAGCACTGGACTCTACTGTGCCAGTAGACAACCACTGTGAAGAACCCAAGTTTCAGACACTGCCAGAGAGATTAATCTACATTAGTTCCTTGTAAGCACTGCCTGTAGCCAGACAAGCCTAGGTACAGAGCCCAACACCAGAGGCTTAGAGAGCAATAAAAAGAAAGCTGGAGAGAGGGGATTAGACACAGGCAAACTGAGAATTCATAGTAGTAATAGGAGCTGAGGTAGTGAAGAGACTGGAGTTGGGTGACCCCATCTCCCTGTCTAGAGCAGGTCCCAGCATTGTGACTACTTCATATGCAAGACTACAGATAACCAGAATGTCCAGACAATGAATTGGCCTCAGATGAGGAAATCTCAGTGGAGGAAGACCAGAAACATGAAAAAGTAAAGCAGCATGAAACCTCCAATGGTCTGTAGCTCCAAAGGAATAGACACTAAGGATAGTAGGGGGAGGAAGAAGAGGTTCAGACAAAAACCTCAAATGATTATAAGAATAATCATGAAATAAAAGAGGAGATATATAAAAAGCTGAATGAAGTCATATAAACAGTTGAAGGAACTCAGAGACTATAAATAAACAGGTGAGTGAAGTAAAGAAAACAGTGTAGAGTGTGAAAGAAAAATTCAGTGAAAATATAGATATACTATGGCCAAGAT